CTTTAACCAATCAAAAGATTGTATTAGGTTGATTGCCATATCGTGTCATAGGCACCGTGCAATGAGAAAAAAATGGGTGGAAAGAAAATGCACGGATGGAAATAAAAATGAACGGTGTAACTAAATTTCCATGATGAGTGACTAAATGGGGTAAATAAACAATGTCACATGGTATGAAATCCATCAATCAAATGACAGGGATCTATTTAGGTGTGTTTTAATACTAGCCATTCAGAGGATAGAAAGCTGTGAATATTTACATTTCATTAGACATTGGATGATGAATATGGTCCTACAATTAAGTTACATTGTTTTGAATATTAATAACAAGAAGTTAGTGATGCTATTTCTATTAGAACAACATTCAGTAGTTCAAAACTAACTTTATGTTGAAAGCCAACTACATAGATTTGATTTCGGATTATGAAACTTGATATGATATGCTTTGGCACCTTGACACAAGCAGTAGAGACACACTTCCCTGTCTATTGTGAGCCTATTATTATGATTTCATCTTCTCTTTGTTTTGAAGAAATACCAAAAGTCAAGTAAAAGAGAAGAAACGACGATGACAATGTTTAGTCTTGTGTTTGTACTTCATGTAAGTATTTCATACTGTAAGTATTACTTATTGTTTACGAAGTTACATCCTGCAAAAAATCATAGGATCCATTACCGTAGAACAACAGGGGTACATGGAGCAGTACACCGGGGTAACCCCCTACTCGTCTTGGAAGATGTACTGGTTTTTTAAAGTACATGGGAGCCAATTGTGTACATTGAGTCTACGTTTACAGCCCTTATGCGAGAAGACTTGTTCCGCCACCCGAACCCTAGACAGGGGCGCCACTCAAACCAGTGCCAATCGCTGTAGGTTGCGGCACCTGCCTCAACCGCCATTTGACTATACTGTACTATAAGTATGCCTATAGATGCAGTGGTAAGGCATTTGGTTTTCATTCAAAAGGTTTTAGTTTGAGTCTGAAGCTGGTCATTTTGCTTGTAATTACGATGGTATCTCCAGAAATTTACCGACAGGGATCAAACAAGTCTGGTAGTGGGGGTCCAAACCACAGGGTCATCTAGAACCTCTAATCCATTCCCTTATGGGTATAAGGAGTTTCGTGGTTTAGGGGCGCAAGCAGAATTTGCTTACCAAATCCTTCATAATCATTCTTCTTATGCCGGTTTATGCTCAGTTTTAACAGCATTTTAAGCCAAGAATAGCGAGCTCCACATATGAGGTTGTAATTTATTTTTGCGTGGCGCATAAAAAATGCCTTCTGGCAACATGTGGCTTGCAGGCCACACTTTCCCACCCTTAATTTTAATATAACGATAATAATAACGAACTATAAAAATGAAAATAGTATAGAATATTAAAAACAAAAAATTATAATATTTATAACATTAAAAATAAAAAGGTGGGTATTAATATGCTACCATTTTGTTCATTATTATTATTGATTTTTACAATTAATAATTATCTATCATATAGGAAAATGCAGACGTTTCAGTAGTTCACTGTTACCATGACCTGTGCAAGAGACTAGCGCTAGCCTTGAAACATGAGGAGAAACGATGTGGCTACTTAAGTCACCAAGCGAAGATCATGCTCGCAGTTCACGACGAGGTCACGGCAATGCCCGAAGGTAGGATTCATGGGTAGCAGATTCAGAATACTGGTACTTTTTTACAGTAGCGGCAGTTTGGCGCAGCGGTTCAGGTTTGGGCTTTCAATTGTAAGGTCGGGGTTTCGAGTCTCCGCTGTGCAGATTCGCTTGTGTCCTTGGGCAAGGCACTTTAGGATTGCTTCAGTCCACCCACCTGTATCAATGGGTACCAGCAAACTGCTGGGACTAACCTGCGACGGACTGGTGTCCCGTCCAGGGGGAGTACAACTCTCATCCGCTTCACACTACAGAAACTGGAGATAAGCTCCAGCCCTATGAGCCCCAGTGGCTCGGAAAGGATTTAGTAATTAGTAGTACTTTTTAACGCTTTTCCCATTGTGTTTTTATTTTCATGCCTCTACATGCCCTTAGAAACGGGGGTGCAGAGGGTGTGGATGCAAGCACCCCCTTTCAAATTTCAAAAGGTTCACTTTTTAAAACTACAATCATTCTCAATTATCATAAAAAGCTATGAATCATTCCATTTTATTTGCCAGCTCTTCTAATTGTCGGTAACTAACCATTGAACTGTCTAACGAAAATTTGTTGGAAATTGATCAGCTCTGGTTATTGCAGATTGATCCATATGAACAAAAAGCTATGTTATAATGTAGGCCTACAAAAATGGACATAAAATATTACTTCTTCAGGTCCTTAACAACACCCAAATGAATGGCAATTAAAGTATAATTTCCACAAATTATGGATTTCAGGAATCCATTAAACAAGAAAGCAATCAAAATGCTACTTTGTCGGAGCTTCAGGGGGATTTTCCCCACCCACCCTCACCAGGCCTCTGCACATGGAGCCCTCCGGGGGAACCTGATGCCTTCCTCTGGACATGCTTGCTCTAAATATCTGAATTTTAAGTAGTAACCTTGGGCTATGGTACACACCAAAACGCTTGCACATCGTGCTGGAATTTAATCCCATATTTTTTTTTGTTTGGACCAGATTCGGAGACCTCTCCATATGAACTTATGCTTACCAAAAGCAAACTATGTGAAGATCTTCAAAGTATATATCTTGGGTAAGAAATTTAAAATTATAAATATGTTTTAGTACATCATGTTGCTTTAGAATTATGTAATTTTCATTCATTTTTACCATTTATCAATTAATATTCTTTCTCCTATTCAATCATGTATTTATCCATTTTTCCATTCAACCATTCATTAGTACATTGAAAGTTACATTTGTTTTCCCACAAAACCTGGAGCCCCAAGCCTCATAGTATATGTAAAGCTCAGCATGGTTATTTAATTCTGTAACAAGCAGACCTCTTACTGTTGGATGTGATTAAGCTAACAGTTAAATATCAACCAAATTTTTGCATAGAGGTACTTAACTAGGACTTTTCCTTTTCATTTTAACATTGCACACAAAATAAGGAACCATTCTAATTCTTTAGGGCTACGTAACAGTTTTGCGTGCCCCAAGGATGGTCCCTTAATAGAGTTCAATTGTTTTTTAAGATTATTTTTTGTCCAGAAGCAGTGGCGAATCCAGGGATTTGAATTGATAGGGACAGATAATGTCTACTCCATCTCAGCCCCACTCTGGTTGCTGAGATAAGAAAATTTATGATTATGGCCGGAAATGACACTCTCTCTCAGACTTAAATTTGAATTAATTTTTTTTTTCTCTATTTTCTAAATAATTTTTCAAAAAAATTTAAGGGGTGGGGGCAGGGCCGGCTTCATCTCCCCCTTCCCCCTCCTTCGAGGATCTGCCATTGAGAAGGTTTCACTCATTGATAATTGTTTATTTTTTATTTGAAATGTGTAGTTTATGTGATACTGGGGTTACTAGAGTGCATATCAATAATTGGATTGAAGTGAGCTTTTGCCTGCCTCACAAGGTGCACAAGGTTGATCAAATGAGGGCTATTAAGGTAAGCAGATTACAGTTGTCAATTTTTTAATATATTTGCTGGCAGGGACAAGAGTTCACATCTGACTCAGGGGAGTCCAGGGGATTTGATTTGATTTATTTTGCATTCAATGTTCAGGGGCGGCTAAGGACCCCCCATCGGGGACGTCTGGACCTCCTGCTTGGACCCCCATGTCGTGGAATTTCCAGCAAGGTCATCAGGGAAAAAAATCAAATCTCGAGTGCTGAAAGTACAATTCAAGCATGCATTTCTAAGCTGTCAAATTTTAGGGATTAAGAACTGTTAGTGCGAGCAGTGGTACAGTATGTACGAGGTGTTGTATACTATTGCGATCGTATGGGTTGCAGTGGGGCGCCAGCTCTTCGACAACAGGGGGCTGGTGCCTTGCATGGTTTTCTATCAAATTACGCTTTTTAACTACAGAATCCCATAATGCACACAATTTTGTTACATAATTTAATGAAAACATTCACTGTCAAATTAAATGGGTTAGGGGGAGGCTAGGCTTCCCCGAAAGGGGGTTCCCCCTTTTTTGGAGAGCTTGGATCCTTTGTCGGGGAATTTCTGGTGCCGCCCTTGTCAATGTACAATAAAATGAATTAAAAAATACATAAAAAATATAAAAAAGAGAAATAGTAAATGGAATGCCAGGATGACCCCTTATGTCTTGTGTTTGTTCACCAGATTAATTTCCAATGGGGTCCAGAAACCAGGGGAATTGTTGCACAAGGGGCAATATTTACAGATATTGATCAGGCATATTTGGTTAAATATAGTAAGATATAAAAAATATGTTAAGCATAAATATATAAAATTTTAAAATTGGCTAAAATTGATTTTAAAAACCTCCAAGTAATAGTATAAAATAAATATTAAAAACATGAAAACAATAAAATGGTAAAAACATTAAACATTTAAATGTCAGTAAGCAAAATTCTTTTTGTTTTTCTCGTAAATGTCCCGTGGTCAGCCGTGTTTTTAGATAATAATTCCAGTCTTGGACACCAGTAGAAAAGTAGGCTCCCAGTGGGGGCCTGTGTCTATGCCCTATATTGCCTTACATTACAGGTATTAAGTTTATTAATAAAGTATCCATATGGGGATTCGGTTATCAGGAAATGTGTGGTGTTGTTTTGTGTCTATGTCCCCCGAGGGCGCATAGAAACAAATATACACAGAGTGTTATTTTAAGTTGAAAAAGATGACCTCAATAACAGGATGCTGTTCTGTATTGCAATTGAATTGCCATCTGGCAGCTCCAAAGAGTTTAATAGAGACCAATATATGTAAGGTATTACTTAATCTTAGACACAAGCACTTAAGTATATCATATAGTAATGGTGGATTCAAGAAGGAGGGGGGAAGGGAGGCAGGCCCAGGCCCCTAAATTTGAATTTTTCAAAATAAAAAAAAGGGAAAGAAAAGAAAGTGATATTCAAATATAAGTCTAAGAGTGCCATTTCTGGCCATCTAGAGATGCCATATTTATAAATTTTCTTACCTCAGCCCCAACTATGGTGGGGCAAATGTGACTAGACCCTCCATCTGTGAAAGTCCCTCTCTGTTCCCCCCCCCCCCAACCCTTTATTTCAAATTCCTGGATCTGGCACTGTATATATCAACCATTTTAGAAATAATGCAATGATAAATTATTTAAACCACCCTCGAACTGCATATCAACATTTATATTTTTACAATATTTTAAAAAACATAATTTCTGTCGAAACATTATTAAAACAAGTGTATTGTACCGAATACATCGGAAAAATATTTAAACCAGTACGGCTGCAGCTTTAACAGTAATATTTATATTGACATGCGTTTGTAAGTTTAGAGGTTACACTTTCTTTATGATATTAATTTCTACTTTTATTGAATAAATCTGCTTTCACATCAGATCTGAACCAATATTCAAACCATGTTTTTGATTCGGTGAATGCCAGCATCACTATTCCTACATACTGATATTCAATTTTCTGATCGCTTCATTAGGCCTTCTGATCCAGAAATTCTGATTTTGTGTGAATGAAGCTTTTGAATATTTTTGTTTTGCAGTCGGATGTTGTTGAGAAGTACTTGGCCGCCATACGACCTTATCATGCCATGCTGCTATTGGAGGAGGAGTCATCACTCATTATGTCGTTGCCGCCAGACTGCTCCCCGTCATTGGTCAGAATAATTAAGCTAGCCACGCCAATTAAAAGTTTACAACAGCTGTCACAAGATAGTGACATCGCTCTTTCACAGGTAAGATTCTGTATACAATTATAGCATGATAGTGAATAACAACATTCTTTAAACTTTTTAAACACTGAATAAATTTGAAGAACTTACCTAGCAAGCTTTCAACCACTACTGTGGCCTTGTTTATGGGATGAATTACTTATATTTTTCATATTAATAAACTATATTTCACATCCAATAGTATTAAATTTTATTGCTAGATAGTTTGTAGAATTATTGTGTACAATGATTCTACCTTTGACAACACTATTTGGCCTGGTTTCTTATGTCTTTATATTGCCATTTACTTTTCACCTGAAGGACTCATATTCACTCTTCAGCCTTTTGATTTAAACTTTTTTTAATGACTGACTTTTTGTAGCCATTTGTTTATACTAGTGAATTTTAATTTAAAAAAATAATTAAAAAATGAATTGTGGCAAAGACAAGGCAAACCAGTCACAAGTCGCAAATCGTTTTCAGAAAATTGCCAAAACATGCTAGAATTTCAAAATTCTTGAAATCTATTTTATTGCACTAAACTAACCTAATTTATATATCTATACATCATACTATGTTATTTTCCTCATTTTCAATGTTCTATACAATTACTATGTTATTTTCCTCATTTTAAATGTTAAAAACAACCATTTTTAATGATTTGGTGATTGTTTCTGCCTGAGAAATGCCAGAAATTGTGGTCTTTGAAGGCTGATTTCTCAAATATTGTTCTTTAAACAGCTGTATGTTTAACTCTTGCAACAAAATATCGGATTTAATTGATTGTTTTGACATTTTATAACTCTCATTTTAATGTTTAACCCTGTATTAATAACTAAAAATTGATTTTTGCGAATAGTGACTGGTTTGGCTAGTCTTTGTGCCACAATTTGGTTTTCATCAACAGGTTTTTCAGCTTGTTGGTCATTTGGTGTACTGGGGCAAAGCAACCGTCATATTTCCCCTTTGTGAAACCAATATTTACATACTATCACCACAAACACCAACACTATTAAGGTCAGTTTGCTAGCTTAATCCATACAGATTATCAAAATGTTATGTGATATATATATATACCTATGATTTGCCTATTTATGGTTATGATGTGACATCATCATGTCTATATATGGGTATTTAATTCAATTCAATTTATTCCGGAAAAACATTGCACACAAAACAAAAATAAATTGTCACAAATGCTGGCCCAGTGGACTCCAACAGTGAACCTAATCACTTTCCGAGGGATGTCCAACCAGCATTGACACAATTACAAGAATAAGTATGGTATGACATCATCATGTTTATATATGCAAAGATAATAAATAGTAGAAGATAGAGCAGTTTGCGATATAGTAAAATGTCGATGAGGATGTCCATGGAGCAATTTTTTTTTTTCAGATAAATCCAAGGCACTGCTCGAGTTTGTTTGTTTCCCTATTTCTCCACTCTGTCAAACGGTCACAATTATTTCCTTTATTCTAGGGCGGACATTCCATCAATTTTAATGTAAAATACGCGAAGAGCTCATTCTTCTGCTACCAAAGATAATAAATAGCAGAAGATAAAGCAGCTTCCCAATATAGTGGAACATCCGTTCGAAATGCATTGTGGGTACATGGGAAGATAGGCTACGGTCTCCACATCACCTCAGGGCAATAGATTTCACCATTGCCCTCATGAGCAGTCAATATTTGTATAATATTAATAATAATAATTAAAACATTTTTTCCAACATTGATTTCACTGTAGCAATTTACAGCTACTTGAAGACTTCAATTCAAAGTTCCCGCAGTTTTCGCAGTTCCCGCTCACGGAAAACGCTGCACGCCATGCTGCCCTCATCTCTGTCTTGTCTGAGTTTTCACTGCCGACCCCCCTGAGTGATCACACCACTATATTAGATCATGATTTGCAAAAGGTAATTATTTTTTAATTTGGTTTTAGTTACTTACTTATTTCAATTTAAATTCCATGTACCAGTGTCTATGTTTACACATTTCCCAACAAAATCTCAAGCACTACACATTCTTCCCCCCCCCCCTTCAACAAAATCTCAAGCACTACACATTCTCTCCCCCGCCACACACACATTTGCTCAGTGCTATGATGTTGCATGGCCCCTACCCAGATTCTCTTCTGGATCCACCCCTGTGTACTGTAATGATTTTTTTTAATGTCTTTTTTTCCAGGGAGACTTGGTAAAGTTGGTGGTTTGGTTGCTTAAAAGGAGACTTCTAGTGCAGGTATGTTTTGGTTATATAAACAAAAATTATGTCATTTATAAACAAAGAAACGTGCAAGAGAAAAATTGTTTATGACCAGCTTAGGCAAAGCACTCCAAACACCCACATATGCCATTCCATAATAAAAAGTTATATTTTACGATGACAATAAAAGTGATACAAAATGAAATATATATTTTAGTTGTTGGAAATGGACTTACTTTGGCATTTTGAATGGCCGAGCAGTGAAGGCGGAGGCTCTTAAACTTTCATGTAAATTAACACTATCTAATACTAAATACTTACTGGATGAATGAAAACACTCACAAATTAATAAATTTTTGTTTTGGTATTTAAGCGGCACACATATACATTCATTGTTCCAATGGATCAGGATGAAGAGGAAGATAAGAAGCCAGGAAGGTACTTGGGAAAGCCTTTGGGAAGCCATCATAAATTGGAAATAGAATTAAAACAGTCAGCTGCTGAGGCTGTGTCAGGTAAAAACACTCACATTTTTAAAATTCAGAATAAAATTTCAATCATAATACATGAAATATATTTTAATTAACTCGGGTTTTCCGGTTTCTCTTTCTCCAAGCAACATTCTACAAATTTTTTTCAGGACAAGCGCACACTTGCTATTTTTTTCTTTGTTTAATATGTACTATCAGTTACGAGGTAAAAGCAATTTGAATTCCCCATTTGAATTGCTTAATTTGTACATTTAAGTAAGTTTTTAAATTTTAAAAATTCCCCCGTCAGTTTTCTGACAGTTAAGTAATAAATTTACTGTGTTCCTTTGCATAGATACTTAAATTGACTGGTAATCTATTTAAGGATTTTTGTAGTAAAATGTCTGTACATTATTGAAAACTAATTTTTGGATCTGTTTCTGGTTGGAAGCTAGTAATTTATTCAATCTTTTAAATAATAATAATATAATATGTAACCTTTTATATAGCACTCTATACCACTAAGTCTCACAGTGTTTTTCCACATTCATACCTCAGTGATTGCAACGATCCCTATGGGGGAAATTCCATAGTTACCTGCATGAAATATATCGACACATTTTTGCACTCAAACCTCCTGAGGTACCCACTTATACTCCTGGGTGGAGAGAAGCAATGCAGATAAAGGGCCTTGCTCAAGGACACAAGCAAAATGTACAGCGAGGGATTGAAACCCTGACCTCTAGGTTGGGAAACTTTTCAAATAAACTAATACTATTTAATATTAAATTTGATTTTTTTGGGGTATTTTCCTGTCTTTTTGACTGATGATAGTACATCTTTAATATTTGTTTTTTCCCCCTCTAATTGGAGCAGATTCCATAAACACTAAACAAAATAAAATATAATCTGTCTTCACTGCTGGAATTAAACATTTTGTTTTTGTTTTTAGTTGATTCTGATGACATAAATACAGCTACTAGTACTAGCCTTGATACGTTCTCGACTCGTTCAATGGAGGATGCACAAGCGTTATATCGCAGCAGGTCACTGGAGATATTAAAGGAGTATTTATCAGAGGAGGAGATAGCTAGCGTGTGTAAAGTACCAGCAGCAAATGTGGCTGAAGATTTAAAACTATTTGCCAGGTGAGGTTAACTACAGGTCTCCCATTTTCGGGACTGGGATTTCCATGGTCTTTACAAGCTGTGAATTAGAATAATTTCGATAAAAGACATTTGTTAATTTGGGACCACAGAAAACTGGTCTTTAATTGGAGGATGGCCTGTACAGTATTTGAAACAAACTTGAAATTGCAGGTTTTTAGATATTACATATAATTTTGTTTTCTTCCTCATTTTGATATTAAATCATTATTCTGATATTAAATCATTGTTAATATTTAATATCAGAATGATGAAGAACACAACATTATATGTAATTTTGTGTTCTTCCCCATTCTGATATTAAATATTAAATCTTTGTTATAATTAATATTAATATCAATATAATTTATTCAATTTATATAATTTATTATATTGATGTTGTTATTAGATATTATAAAGATATTCATTATAATTTAATCAAACTTGTCATCATGTTCTTAGTAAAATTTATTTCATGTACTGGGTCTGTTAAGTTTATGTATGTAAATGACCTATCATTTTAAAGCTTATAACATGAAGAATGTGATTATATTAAAAAGTCAATTTTCTTTTTTTGGCAGGGCTGAACATTAACCACCAAACCATAGTGGCCAGCAGGGCCAGTAAAAAAAAAAAATGATACTGACCCTTCCAAAGTTATACTGGTCCTATTTTATTTACAGTCCAAAATATAATTTTACGATAAAACAAAATCAATAAAACAAGCAAGATGACATAGATTTAATAATTTGATATTTATACATTATAATATACTACTACTGTAAGTAAAATGTACAATTAATTATACAGAAGGGGTCTCAAAGGTCAACACTGTTTGTAAGTCATAGAAACGTCGCAAAAAAAGAATTTTTACTAAAAACTGCAAGATTTTTTAAAATTTTTTCACGGAAAAAAGATAATTTTTAGAGAGGGCCTCCAGACAGACGATACCCAAGAAATTTATTATCGTCCAACGCCGAAGAAGGTCGCCACTGGCGACAAGGCAACCGCTTATTTTCAGCCATGGTCATTGATGCTAGTTTTAGCATGGCAAGCCCCAACATTGATATCTAATGATATTGTTTTCTATATTAATTTTGCAATTTGTCCTCTTTACAGATTGTGTCCATATTTTCGAGGACATCACCACTTGGAAGAAATCATGTATCTGGAGAATATGAACCGGTCTCAGCTGCACACAATATTAGACAAATTCAGCCAGGTGCTCTTTACGTGCGTACATGAAGATGCAGCGACAGTAACTTACAAAGAATTCTTATGAGGGCGCACTGTTCACACTGACTCATTTTCAGTGATTATTCTCCCTCTGCAAATGCCATGGCTAAGGACTTTCCAGTGGGGTATTTTTATGCGTCGTCCGCTACTGTAAAAATGTAAATTTTGAAACTGTAGTGTCATCGTAATCTATTCTAAAGACTTGCTACAACATAAAGCCCATATATAGTCATGATGTGCCTATATATGGTCATGATGTGATGTCAGTATAATTTGATAGACATGTGGTGCAGGGGGTGAAGGGCCCCAAGAAGATCCCCAGCAATGGTGCCCTTTCAAGAACTTCCAATTGGATCAATCAATTCAGATTACAGTACTGCCCAATGTTTTTGTTGGTTGTATAAACTGATCAGGTTTTTGGTGATTCTGTTGTGATAACTTCTCTACTCTTCATTTTAATATATGTATTGAGTTATACAACGCAAGGACAGGCAGCACACGATATGAAAGTTTGGTAGACCGGTAAGCATGTCCCCAGCTCGACCCGCAACTTCTTTCGTTCTTTAAACACTCAGGAAATATTCTAAGTTGGCCTGCAAAGTCTATAGAAAATTTAGAGGTAAATTTATTACAATCTTGAATCAAGTGGTATTTCAATTAACCATCTCAAGCTTCCTACAATACCAGTCTATTCTGGAAGGGTTGGTCCTTCATTAAGTGAAGGGCTTGATGTTACTCTTTGCTCTCAGCGAACTTCCATCCTGTTGTGCATAGCGTAACAAAGCATTTGTAGAATCAGCTAGGGTGTCCCTGTAAATAGTACATTGGAAAAGGATCACATTGAGGGAGTTTCTTTCTTCACATGGAACTTACTCAACAACTCTCCAATCAGAACGTCGCTAAGGTTAACGGGGGAATAGGATGGGTGCCCCAGCCTATTCCCTTCATGGCGGCAAATTAGTTCAGTCTGCATCCCTATATGTCTCAAAATACGGACAAACAAGCTGTAGGTGATCAGTTGATCAGGAGCATCAAGTGAAATGTTGACAGAAATGTGTCTAAATTATAAAGTATCTGCTTGCTTATAAGTATCCTTTACAATCGCACTATTTAGGGGAATACCATAAAACCTTGAATTGAAGCCCAAATGGGCTTAATCTTGAATTGAAGCCCCCTCTTTAGTTTGCAAAAGTAGCCTTGAAAAGCCCATCTTAAAAAGAAGCTCATCAAAGTTCGCAAAAAAAAAAAAAAAGCCCAGGGCTTCTATTCGAGGTTCTAGGATATATGCATTTTTGTGCTTGCAATGAGATTTAAGTTGTATTGAAAACTTTTTAAGAAACTTCATCTTTTTGAATAACAGAACAAATTTATGTCACATGATGATGTAAAAAACAAAGCTAGTAAAAATATTTAGCCAAAAGATAGAACATATGAAGCTGTGAAGAAATGTGAATAATATTTAACGGAAATAATGTTCTCAAGATTTTATATTAATAAAGAATACAAATAAATATAAATCTATACGAAGTATGCTTTGTTCGTGTTCATTAAAATTTGTTTATTTACATTGTCATATAATTTATAAAATGCATCACCAATTACAATATGCAATTTTTAAAGGTAATTGACCAATCAGAGCAGGGCCAGTAACATGTGCTCATGTTTACAGTTGTAGAATCAAAGCTGTCACTCTATCAAATTTTCATTGACAAAATCTGTTATGTGCCCATGTAGAGTCATGATGTGCCTATATATGGTCATGATGTGATGTCATCATGACCATATTTAGGCATGTCACGTGTTTGGGCTTTAGGAAAATTATTCTAAATTATTGAATTGTCCTTGTGTAGATAATTTCAGAGAGCACCACCAGCATCTGTTTTAATATGAATCCCAGAAACAGTATAGTATGGAACGCCATGCAAATAAGTACAGTAATATGGAATGCCATTATTGTCAAAATCAATTTATTTTTAATAGTTTTCACTGATTAAGACAAATTTGAGGACTGGAACCCACTCAGTCCATAATTGTTTAAGATACAATGCATTTGATTGGCTGATAATGACAGCCAATCAGATGCCTTGTATCTGTCTCTCAGCTTCTTTATTTTTTACACTAACACATTTGTTACCACATATATAGAACCGAAGCAGTTTAAGCCTCCATGTTTCTTCTACAGAGTCTAATCCAATTCTTGGACATGAGACAATCTCTCCGCTATCTACCGTGACATCTCCATTTTCAATCCACATATATGGGCATGTGACAAGATCAGTCTGATCCTGAGATTTTGTGATGTGAAGGGCATCCGTTAGCTTTCCTGGACCACTACAGAGCTGGTGGGGTTTCAAAGGTTTTGATGTTTCTTTACGACGTCTCTGTCGATGAACCTGCATTTCTGACAAGCCTTCAATGGTTTCCAGTGCACGGATTAACACGGCATTGCCCTCACCTAAACATAATATGAAATTTATTTTTTATATGAGATTCATTTTTTGTACTTATTTATTCAATAAGTCCTGCAAATGGCATTGTATTCTGGTAACTTTTAAATACATTTTTTTTCGCAAGTTTTTGGAAAGCACTGAGTATTTGGTACAATATTCACATGTTGGATAGGGAAATTCATCACTCCAACAATGACATGAAAGCATAAAATACAAAACAGTCAATGGCACATATATTGTAGGAGTGATGTTTTGCCCTACCTGATGCAAATTTGCAAGTGATTCAGGTAGAAATCGAACCCAAAACTTCAGATAACTAGCCTGTTGTCATAATCTCTAAACAAAGCTGTCGCTTCATGACTGCTGTAGTGTTGAATCCGATCTACATAGCAGCAGGTACTACAAATGCTATTTTGATGTCACGTAGGCAAAACATCACATCATGTAGGGCAAAACATCACATGATATACAGTAGGTCTAACAAAGCAAGTCCTTTAAAACCATTCTAGAAAAACAGTTTACCTTCACTTGATATATTAAGACAACAATACATTCCATATATCAGGTATACGTATGTAGTTCCTGGCTCCATAAACATCGCTTTATTCCTGTCAGTCCTTCGGCCCTTATAGGAGTGGCATGCAGTATCATCTTTCCCACAATACGCTTCCGTTTCTACTATCGTCCCGGACAATTTTTCGCCAGAATCAAGGACACGAATTAGAGTTTTTCCAAGCAGCTCCTTAGCTAGTGTTACACAAGGTTTGCTGAAAAAATCTCGTCCAAGTCGTTTTTCATCTGTAGTTTTGTTTGAAAAGTATTTACTTGTATTGCCTTCAGGAGCATGATGTTTAGAAACTCTTGACACAGCCCTTGCAGCATTCAACTCGCATTCATTCTTTCTTTTCTTTGCCTGAAAGGAGACGATTACTTCGTGTATTTAAGAGTTTACTTTCATTTTTAATAATAATTAATTATTTATTTCTTAATTTTATTCCTTTCAGCTGTACAAACATAAAAAAAATACTATTACTAAATGAAAGAGGAAAGCTGCGGAGAGACAAAACGTTTGAAACTACTATCACCAAAGTGCAACAATACTAACAAAAATATTCAAAATAATTAATCAATCTCAATGATCACAGAAAATAGCTAATAGTATGTTTTACCTGTCTTCTTGATGGCCTTCCTTCTTTTGCTTGCTTGGACATTGCTAGGTGTTGAAAAGTCTAACAAAAAAAATTAGGCCTCTAATAATACCAGTATCTTATACCCAAACATTTTATCAATAAATAGGCATAGATAGGCCATCAGCATGACCTATTTTGAAAATTTGGATGATTTAAATCATAATAATACTAAACAAACACAGCCTTACATTAGCAAACACACTTTAAATCCATTTTGGTAACATGCATACTGTACCGTATTCATGTAGGCTTACTTACCTCCACTCTACCAAGCTGTAGCCGGGGCAGAATGCAATACAGGCGCAGCAGTGGGATGCAGTGCATACAGTGTACAGTAGATAGACAAAACCAGGCCTAGCATTAGCAATGCATAATGACAGAGGCCGTGTGCCAAGATACCAAAAAGCTATAGTTTTCGTAGTACTCCTCACGAAAACTTATGTTAATAAAGTCAACATTACTAATGTTGAGAAATTAGACCTAATGAAATGAGATTCGTGAGTGAATCTTGACTGTGGCATAAAAAACCATATACGACAGGGACTTCCCCGTATTATGACGTCAGAATATGCAAATGCCTGCTAAATCAAACTTGATTAACAATTTGGCCATGGGCGTCGATCGGTGGGGACAGGGGGGGGGACACGCCACCCCCCCCCCCACTTTTCAAAGTAGGGGAGCATCATATCGATTGTATTCCACTTTTCACCAATCTTCTATAATACACCCACTTTTAAAAGTGTATGGAAAGAATAACAATTACGCATGACTCATGCCTGTTCACTTTTATAAATTGCGGTGGTACGTATTTTCCGGACCAAAACTGAGTAAAAACGCATTGTTTATAATTTCGTAACCATCTCAGTCAGAAACACTAGATCGATTTCATGGGTGCAGTGGTTATCAGAGGCTAAATTTATTATGAAAACAATGTACTTAACGTTGTGAAAATTTCTATATAAACTTTTTATATACTATATAAACCTTTTGTATATTATTATTACGGTACTATGACCCGCGTACGTATATATACTAGTGTTTAATATTATATACATGCATAGGATACTAATTTTAATAATTTCCAAAAAAAATATTATAGTTAGTCAACTGAATTTTATATAGCCATTATTAAACAATAATTATACAGTTTTCGACACGGACATGTCTATCTATTTCGATTTAGTGATACCAAAATTTTACAAACTCCAGTGTTACGTTGACGCAATCTCGCAATGACGTCATAATAATCAGTGGCGAGTTCAAGTGGGGCCGAGCCAACCCTAAAATTTTCAAAATTAGGCCAAGGCCCTCTAGCTAGGCTAGGCGCGCCTAGATCGTTGGTTGAAACGACGATTAAAGAAAAACGGTTAAGCAAGACAAGGACTTCGCTAACTTCTATTCCTCAGTATTAAAATCCTTCCATTGCTGAACACTATCTAAAACTTTCTTCCAGCTTATCTCTGTTAAGTCATGGTATCACCTTTTTTAAAGGCAGTTCAGTTGATGGGGGAATCATAAATAGCAAACTTGGAGGTTGTGGGTTCGATTCCCACACGAACCGATTTTTTTTTAAAGGCCAGGCCCTCCAGACCTCTGAAAATGGCGGAAGGCTATACCAAGCTCAAAACATCTAGTTTTATAATCCGATCCCCCCAGATTGCCAAATGAAACAATTCAAATTACATAGGCCTAGTCAATTTTGTGAGACTGATCACTTACTGTGTTAAGGTGTGCAGTGAACGGTTCAGTGAGCAGATGTCTCAAAGTTTTCATTATGTTTGTTTTGAGAGATAAAATTATATTTAAAAAAATATAAAATTATTGCAGTGCCTGGTGGTCTGGCAAATTCCAACTCTGTCAGAAATGCCACCTACCACAACCAAAGACAAAAATAGATTTTTGCGTCTGACTATTGATTAAAATGGACTGTAATTAAATGGGCCTGTACCACAACCAAAGACAAAAATAGATTTTTCGTCTGACTATTGATTAAAATGGACTGTAATTAAATAAATAGGCTGTGCATGTACTGTTTTTTTAAAAATTTATATGTCACGATGTATGGTTAATCAAAAACAATCACAGGGAGAATATACATGTGTGTTGATTCTTCGTAACCTTATTGGAAGGCATATATAATTGTATTATATTTTTCTTTTTTAATATCACAAAAGACAATTAGGCCTATGCATATTTAACTAATTTCCTGTTGGAAGTAAAATCACACCAATCAAGTTTGGTTTTCTCCAGAGTACAGTTGTTAAAACAATTGCATTATTCTGCTTCATTTAAGAATACGTTAGGCCTATATTATGACCAAGTTGTTATCATAATATAAATTCTAAACTGTGATAGGGCATAGGCCTATTATTAACTAAGACCAATTAGCGCATAACATAAAAAAAATGTAGGCATACATATCAAAATTATTATGTTTGAATATGCCTATCAGTGCGTGCATAAAACGTAATGACTTGGGATTTGGATCTAACATGTGCATAATGATATTGATAAACAATCGAAATTTTCTGTATTTTTTTTACTTCTCGCTCGCGTGGATATCGACTTCTGCTCATATCCGGCCAACTGCGGGCGCTGTTCATGTTCGGTCAATTAATTAATTGACTTCTCCGTGGTAAATTCTTCGGAGATTGTCTTTTTTCTTCGCAAAAATTCTGAACTTGTCGGCGGCAGGAGATAAACCTGGCCTACAGCAGGCTATAATACCTTTAATATTCGATTATTTTTATTCTTTGTACGGAGTTTGGCATGTTCAATATAACACTATTTTATAGGGATTTAGATTTTATATTACACTGGAGTTAGGTGACTTCAAATTGTATCTTAATAATCGTGAACGAACAAGGTAAGTTAGGCTAAACTTGTCATTTTTTTTAGTGTAGTGTGTGACTTGCCTAGCGGCACAGGACAGCCTGTCCCAGGCAGAATTAAAGCTTCTTAGGTGGCTAGCGTAGGTAAGACAATCATTTGCGTCTAGCTAGCTAACTATTTTTAAAACATGCTCAGATATTGCAGTGCTGTCGTGAAGGTTAATGTTTAATTTTCTAGTTTAAAATTGATACGATGTGATTTATAAAGAAACGAAATCGGTCGAATGTATAATAAATTAATTTAATTAAAATTAAAGCTTGGGTCGTCGTCCCCGTCGTGTTTATTTACCTCAATTTTAATCAGAAAAAAAAAAAAACAACTCCCTGATCAGAATAAATAGAAAAGCTTAAGAATTAGAAGCCTAGGCTTGGCCCTAGCCCATTTTATTATTATGAACGTGGTGTATTATTTTGATATCCTGAGTGAGTCTTTGTGTAAAATTAACATTGATGAACCATCAGTCAGGAAGTGTTCTTACGGGTCGTTGTCCGTTGTGTTTATTTATCTCAATCAAAATAATTAGAATAAATAGAAAAGCTTCAGACTTAGAAGCATAGGCTTGGTCCTAGCCTATGAAGGTAGTGTATTATTTTGATATCACGAGTGAGTCTGTCTAAAATTAACATTGATGAAGCATCAGTCAGAAAATGTTACAAACTCCTGATTATTTATGCTGTAGGATATGAAACTGCTAGCCTAGGCCTTATTAATCTAGCCTAGGCCTAGTTGGCTGCTGCATACATTTTATTTTATAATATAGGATTTGTAATTATATTAATTACTTTGCAAAAGCTTGCTTGTACTATGTAGTTAAAAGCACCAAAATGTGAAACCAGTTTTTTGTAAAATAATTCTCAACAAAGCAGCCAATGAAGTCAAGAGGACTGCTTTAGATTATGAGAATTGAACAAGACTAAATCTTCCAATGCTAACTTTTATCAACACCCTGCTTTTACACAGTAGAAAGAAGATAGGATTTGCTTACTTTATGCAAGTTTTTAACATTTTTATGAAGGTATGAATTGTAGGCCTGCGTGTGCTGACCGATTTCTAAGTTTTAAGTGATGCACAGAGTGACAATTAATCATCACCTAGTCAGAGAGGTCTACTGACATGGGCTAGGTTAGGCTAACAACTAGGCATTCCATTAAAATATATTATAAAATATGTACTGTACTGCAGTATTTGTCTCTGGTACTTCATAGCAGTTGAGTCAACAATCGGAAGGTCGGTGGTTGGAGTCTAATTATAGTCACTTGTCACTTGTGTCCCAGGACAAACTTCTTTTACCAAATTGTCATTAGTACTGTAGTACATAAGTTGGTACAATACAGAGTACAGTAGGGTAGAAACCTAACTTGCAGTACAAGATGACTGAATGATGACTCATTAGCAATACCTTACAGTATGCTACGTTTGTCCAGCTTTTTTGTGAGTGTTTAGTTAAATATTAATGTGTCTAAATTCAACTGTAACATTGTGAAATACTGCCCCAGGAAGCTGACTTAAGAGTTCCAAGGAGTTTCTCTTAATAACCAAGGTAATGATGTGAAGTATTGTATAATGTCAAGACCTTGGCATTGAGCAAGTTTACAGTACTTTAATAAAGCGGGTGCAGTAATTTTAGTTAAAAGTGAAGTAATGCAGTACTTGCACTTTTAAACCAAAAGGAAGGACTGTAAGGCTGTGTTCACACACACAACACACACACAACACACACACACACACACACACACATAATGTATGCACTCATGGCTGTGTTCACACAAGAAAATCCCTGATCCGGATAACAAAATGATGGTGGGATCATTGGCCAACAGGAAAATAAAAATTGGAAATGCGTATTTCTGATTGGTTAATGACAGAAGTGACTTCCATTTTGTTCTAGAGTTTTGTAAAATCCAACTATATTATACTGACTTAGGTACATGATCAGGGTTTTAATTTTGCTGAGAAAAACATTCAGATGGAGAAGAAAATAAAAATAACTTTTATTGGTGAATAGAGTATAAACAGTGTAGTAATCGGATGGAAAGTGCTTTAAATTTATATAATTGCAAAGAAATATATTATGAACTGTACCTTTTGGAGATTTCAAGGCAGCGGCGAATGTAATAAAAATAACAAATTCTTTTTCTGAAATTTTCATTTTTTCATGATATGGGTGTGCTAATTGGCCAAAATTTTATTTTTATTTGAATCATCATCATTGGTAGGCGGCGGGTTTGCTAAACAAGGTATTAAAAAAGTCTAAAAATTGGGCTTGCTAATGTTGAGGATATAAACTTTATCATTTCACAATAATTTACTTGACTTGCTAACATGCCTGGAGCATGCCTGACAGTACTGTAGGCATTTATCTATTAAAAGCCAAAGTTAAAATGAAATTTAACATTATAATAATAATATGTCGTTCTAATATAGCGCTTCATGCCTTTGCAAGGCCTCTAAGCGCTTCACATTACTACCCCGGTCATTGGATCAAACACATATGGAACACATTGAAACACCAAATTAAATTCGTAAATGAAATTATATTATCATTCCATAATATTGCAGCTAGTAATTAGCGCAGGTTGTGTTGGAACCTACCAGGTACCCACTTGTACTCCTGGGTGGAGAGAGGCAACCATAGATAAAGTGCCTTGCCCAAGGACAATTAAGCGATGTGCACAGCCAGAGTTTCAAACCCCCGACCTCAAGGTTGGGAGTCCAAGCCACAACCGGTGCGCCAACCGCTCCTACATTCAATTACCATACTGAACAGAAGGTACAGTACGTATTTTACCAGAGCTCATACTGTACTCTGACAGTGGCATAGGCCTACTTCTTTGTGACTTTTGCTCAACCAAGCTGAAAATCTAAACCGTTTTTATGATGGTATCCGGCTGTAAACTATTCACACTGCAGGAATTGTATAAAAATAAATTGAATAAAAATGGAGAGAAAAAGACAGAAGACAGAATAACCAAAGTCATACAGGAATTCCAACTTGAATTCTTTAACATTATTTCTGCATTCTTGATTTCTTTTGTTAATGTTTTGCTCTTTAAAATTTTAATACTCCAACTTTGAGTTCTTATGCTACTGCTAGTACTAGTTTTTTTCTGGTTGAGTGAAGAGACATTTTTCGGTGAATAGTCTGGACTGTATGTAATGAAATTATGAAAAAACCTTTTATAAATTTTTAATGGAACTTGAAGAGTTGTTGCCTATACCGGTGCTTGAATAACTGTAGTAAAATTAACAGTGCATCAGTAAAACCTTTAAATCTGTGAATTGTTTGAAGTGAACTTATATGATTATTGTATTTTAAATGAACAATTTTACTTTGATTTTTCAGCTAGCATTGTTGGTGTTGCAGGTTTTAATAGACAGTCTAAATAGGTTAAAATATCTTACAAAACACAATCAACAAATCATATACAATAACTAAGTAAAATGCAATAGAAAAAGAACCCCTTTACCATTTCATTTATAGAGAGCACAGGAAAGAGACCAAAGTAGCTAATATATTGCAATCGTGATTGATCAATCTCTTGAAATGAGGTCAAATCATTCCAGTATCACTGGCATTAGCTAATCTGGGGTCTGCGGGTAGCGTTAATAACGCCAAGGACGTGGCGTAGTGAGTGTCTTTAACAACGGCACTGCCTAGTTCACACAAAGGCGTACGCTACGCCATGCTTAAGCCAGCCTTACCCCGTGTGTGTGAACATAGCCTTAATCTCGAGAAGAAGCCCCTCTCAAATTAAAGCCCTACCTGTACAGTAGTTTGCACAAGTAGCCTCGAAAAGAAGGCCATCTTAAAAAGAAGCCCATCAAAATTTCGCGAAAAAAAGAAGCGTAGGGCTTCTACTGTATTCAAGGTTTTACGGTTATATAACAAATCATATATTATGGTGTTGAGATTCACAAAATTTAAGACCTTGCCGCTATGTAATACAATGTAGGTCTACCGTATAATGCAACGATATCCTCTTCCCTCCAGAGGTCTGTTATTTAGCATAACTGTGTCACGCTCATTTTATTCACATAAATTACAAAAGCAATTCAACCACGTTGACTGTATTGTACATACTCTTCATCAGATTCATATCATTTATTCAAATTAAACAGCCTGCTTTGAATAAACACTCCCTCTAGATCCTCATTTGGCATAAACACCTCCCTCAAGTGATCGCAATAGGGCGATTATTTTTTCCTTGAATAAACACCCCCCTAAATGACAGTAAAACCCAATGGAAGCAACATCATTCTCAACACATGCTATTAATGTTCTACTCCAGTAGAATTACATTTTTTTTTCTAACCAGGTTGGGATAGTTAAGTCTTTCACACCATAACACAATATTTTCATGGTAATTATCTGTTATGTAGTTTATAGTGAAATTGACTCCCTGAAAAAGCCTTAACAATAAACGTCCTGGGATGTTTATTCAAATAAATTACGGTATTTTAATTAATTTTTAATAACACACTCATTTGATTTATAATTATTTTAGTGGAAAAATTATATCAGGGTTGAGCATTTAAATTTAAACTACTGTACTGTAAAAAGTTGATGCTACTGTGCAGTAGGCAGGCTAATTACTGGAATATTGACGATGGTAATAATACATTAGTAGGTTAGTAGTTTGGTAATATTAATTAAGCCTACGTTTTGAGAGCAAAGTGGCATGCACAATACTACAGTACTGTATACTGAGTGAGTTGTCAAGCGAGTAGAGACCATACTGTTACTGTGGTTGCTAAAGATCTTTATATACTGTGTCTGTAGGACTACAAAGCAAACATTTTGAAGATGACACTGTTGTACTCTACTGACCGTGGTACATTTACTGTAGGTGTCCCCATCAATTGTTTAAAACAAGTGGGAGTAGGCATTATTAACTGTCACTGTCACCTTTGACCTTTAATTTACAATATTTCAACTACCTTTGCTAAATGAAAATTCGAAAAAGAGGAAATCTA